ATATATATATATACTGTGGTATAACATGAGCTCCCGTGAAATAAGGGAGGTTTACGTTGGTGGCAAGAGTTGGCCCATGGTTGTTGCTGGCAGCTGCAATACTGGGGGAATTTCTGATGCGCTGGAAGGGGGTGGGGGTGGGGCTCAACATATGGGAAGTCAGGCACCAGCCCGGCATCAAATGTAGTTTCAAAACCGTCTGTTGTTACATTGTTTGAATTTGGGGAATTCTTCCAGTACCAGCACCATCCGTGTGTGTGTTTGTGTGTCCGTCTGTGTGTCCGTCTGTGTGTCTGTGTGTCTGCAGACTCCCCCAGGCAGCCATATTGGAAGTTTTCCTATTGTCATGACGTAGAACGTCCGTCTGTGTGTCTGTCTGTGTGTGTGTGTGTGTGTCTGTGTGGACCCCTCAGGCAGCCATATTGGAAGTTTTCCTGGTGTCCTGGCATAGAACGTCCGTCTGTGTGTCTGTCTGTGTGTGTGTGTGTGTGTGTGTGTGTCTGTGTGGACCCCTCAGGCAGCCATATTGGAAGTTTTCCTGGTGTCCTGACACAGAACGTTGACAACCTGTTGGAACAGTCTGAGCCCAGAGTGGCACATTTTTCTGGAAAAAAGAAGAAAAAAACGGTTTCATTCTTTTAAAATATGTACCTACAATAGCTATCTTACCTTGGTTTTTTTTCCAACATTTTGAATTTAAATTTGGACAAAATTGCACATGCCACTGATAGGACAGTTTTCCCAGAAACTCCAAGAAAAAGAAATGTTTTGTGTTTGTTCCTTTTGAAGAGCTGCCCGACAATGCTGGGAACTGTGGACGCCTCTAGTCAGCCGTAGACTTGTCGTGTCCTCAGAGCTAACAGCTACAACTGTTACTTACTACTTACTAGTGACTGACTTACTATGCAGTGACTGTGCTCTGTCTGCAGCTTAGATGTTGGAAAGCTGCCGTATTTTCTACTGACATATATACCATACAAAGTTTACGCAGTTCTCATAGAAAGTCTGTTTGCAGACGGTTATGCAAAACTTTCAGTCACAATGCAAATGTAGTTGCTCCAAGTTGATCAAAGACAAATGAGGTTCACGGTTTCCCACACCTCCTCTGCCTGTCTGCTGCTGTCTATTGACACAGTTTTTCCTCGGACTCACAACTTTTTCTTGGACTGTGTTTTCTTGTAGCTTGTTTTAGCGTGTAGCGCACAATATGTTATGTGTTGTAAACATGTTAGTCTTGGTAGCTACGACACGCTCACTTTTGACAAAAGCGTGATCTACTTCAATACGTCTCTGTGTCTTGCTTCCTCTGTAAGACAGGGTCAGACTCTGTGTCTTGCTTCCCCTGTAAGACAGGGTCAGACTCTGTGTCTTGCTTCCTCTGTAAGACAGGGTCAGACTCTGTGTCTTGCTTCCTCTGTAAGACAGGGTCAGACTTTGTGGCTCTGTCTTTTTGTGAAGCCCGTGATATCCCGTCTTTTCCACTGGACAAGGTATCCCTTCTTTTCCACTGGACAAGGTATCCCTTCTTTTCCACTGGACAAGGTATCCCTTCTTTTCCACTGGACAAGATATCCCGTCTTTTCCACTGGACAAGGTATCCCTTCTTTTCCACTGGACAAGGTATCTCTTCTTTTCCACTGGACAAGGTATCCCTTCTTTTCCACTGGACAAGGTATCCCTTCTTTTCCACTGGACAAGGTATCCCTTCTTTTCCACTGGACAAGGTATCCCTTCTTTTCCACTGGACAAGGTATCCCTTCTTTTCCACTGGACAAGGTATCCCTTCTTTTCCAATGGACAAGGTATCCCTTCTTTTCCACTGGACAAGGTATCCCTTCTTTTCCTTCCTTGTGATAATCATCATTAAAACAATATTTTATCTCAGCTTGTTTCAAGTTGGCGAATATAGAATTGGCATTTTGAAAGTGGTAGGCAAGTCAGCCTTAAAGTTTGGGAATGCCCTCTTCAGTATTGATAGAATAGTGACCTAGGAACACATGTGATAGAATAGTGACCTAGGAACAAATGTGATAGAATAGTGACCTAGGAACACATGTGATAGAATAGTGACCTAGGAACACATGTGATAGAATAGTGACCTAGGAACACATGTGATAGAATAGTGACCTAGGAACACATGTGATAGAATAGTGACCTAGGAACACATGTGATAGAATAGTGACCTAGGAACACATGTGATAGAATAGTGACCTAGGAACACATGTGATAGAATAGTGACCTAGGAACAATAAATGTGATAGAATAGTGACCTAGGAACAATAAATGTGATAGAATAGTGACCTAGGAACACATGTGATAGAATAGTGACCTAGAACACATGTGATAGAATAGTGACCTAGGAACACATGTGATAGAATAGTGACCTAGGAACACATGTGATAGAATAGTGACTTAGGAACACATGTGATAGAATAGTGACCTAGGAACACATGTGATAGAATAGTGACCTAGGAACAAATGTGATAGAATAGTGACCTAGGAACACATGTGATAGAATAGTGACCTAGGAACAAATGTGATAGAATAGTGACCTAGGAACACATGTGATAGAATAGTGACCTAGGAACACATGTGGTGTTACTTACATGTGATGAGATATTTATCTGATTATTGATGAAATAGATTGTGTTTGAAATATACGACTTATGCTGTAGTCATGTGTCCATGACGTACGACTTATGCTGTAGTCATGTGTCCATGGCGTACGACTTATGCTGTAGTCATGTGTCCATGACGTAGCTCCAGTTTCTCCTGTCATCACTTTCCCTCGTCCGTGGAAGTGGACAGGTAGGTCAGACGTTGTGGGTGAGAGCGACCTAATTCTTGCCCGACACTGGGGGGTTTGTGTGTGTTGTTGTTGTGACAGTCATTTGTGTTTAGTACAGATTTGTTGTTGCAATCTCATCGTCTACACCGCCCCCAGAAGGACTTGTTCCGTCTCGTGTGTGAAATGTTTGTGTTTTCACTTAGTTAGATACACACAACCAAGCTGGCACACTGAGTTTTGTTTGTGCAACTACTTTGGTTTAGAAGTTTCTTGTGCAATCACTTGTTTTTTAGAAGTTTTTGTTTTTTTCCTAAATTATCTCTCCACGTTTTGGTCTGTGACAGTCGTTTCCCACATTTTGGTGCACACTGATGGGGCCTCCAGATATCGATCTAACAAATTTGTAAATCGTTGGATTCTCTGGCCACAGTAAACACCAAACTGCTTCACAAAACATACAGCTCGTCAGCATGAGGAGACGGGGAGGGGAAAACTTGTGGCCCGTCACCCACTTCCTGCAGGATCACCAAAATGTGGAAAACGACTGTGGAGACATCAAAAAGACCTGTCTGATAGTAGAAAAGGAAATGCCCAGGTGTCAATATGTGCTCGCTTTGAGCCAAAACCTTCCCAGCAAGGGTAGCCTACCTCAGTAACTCTCCTTGCTACTTTTTCTGCTACAGTCAAATGTCTATGTGTATGTATGTATGTATATATGTATGTATGTATGTATGTATGTATGTATGTATGTATGTATATATATATATATATATTATCAGTCTATGTGTATATATAGCTGTCTATGTGTGTATATAGCAGTCTATGTGTATGTATAGCAGTCTATGTGTATATATAGCAGTCTATGTGTATGTGTAGCAGTCTATGTGTGTGTATATATATATATATATATATATATATATATATATATCGCCGTTTATGTGTGTATAGCTGTGAGGAAGGTGACAGTGTATTTATTTGTGGATGTACCTGTGTACAAAATCAGAGACTTGTCATTCCACTGGGAGCGCCCCCTTAGCTCTGTTGGTATCATGCTGGAGCAGATGGCTCAGGTTTGAATCCTAGACTGGCGTTCTTGACGCAGGTCTTTTGTTGGAGTTTTCTTCAAGGCTTTCAACCCATTTGGCTTGGTCTATTGGGGAGGGATGTTCCATTCCTGGCTTGGTCTATAGGGGAGGGATGTTCCACTCAGAGGTCTCAGAGGTGTCGCCTCTAGGAAACGCCTAATTGTGTTGATAGTGGTGTTAAATCCCAGCACTTACCTACACTTTCCATTCCGTCGTATCGTTCCAGTGCTATGACTCACAATATTATATATATTATGGCTGTGATTTTCTTCTTGTTATTTGTGAGGCATCGTGGTGAAATCAGACGCTCGTAAAAAAAATTAAGTGGAAGAAAAAGGCATTTTTTCCACCAAATTAGCAATTTTAATTGAATTTTTACTTTTTGGCTCAACACTTTTATGTTCATATAAAGACAGATTTCCATCTGAATTTTACTGAAAAAATTTTGATTAAAGGAACAAAATATGTAATTTCTCAGTTTTCAAGGACTCTGATGCTATATTTTTCCATCGAAAACATCTCGACTTGTATTCCAGATATATGAGTATTGTTGTATTGACAGCGAGGCAAAGGAACAGGCGCTAGGATCATGCCAATAGGCAAAGGAACAGGCGCTTTGATCATGCCAATAGGCAAAGGAACAGGCGCTTTGATCATGCCAATAGGCAAAGGAACAGGCGCTTTGATCATGCCAATAGGCAAAGGAACAGGCGCTATGATCATGCCAATAGTTGCACTTGCCCCAAAATTGACGAGCGCCTGATTCCATCACGTCGTGACTCATTATTTTTCTCTAGAGTGAGTTGCGGGTCTGCATCAGTTGTGGGGAATTTTGTTGACACACGGTGGGGAAGTTGTGATGTGAGCTCGTGTTCTGTGACTGTGTCTGTTTTGTGTCAAGTTGTTCTGTGACTGTCTGTTTTGTGTCAAGTTGTTCTGTGACTGTGTCTGTTTTGTGTCAAGTTGTTCTGTGACTGTGTCTGTTTTGTGTCAAGTTGTTCTGTGACTGTGTCTGTTTTGTGTCAAG